TTTTTTCGACTTTATTTTTCTTTTATTCTTTTTTCTACTTTGTCTGGCCCATTTAAATAGGGCACGAACGGGAAAAAATATTTTTTCTCTTTTTCATATTTCTTCTTGTCATATTTCCCTTCGACACATATGTCCTGTTAAAGTACTTTTGCCACTTTTCTTCCTCTAATATTTTTTTCTTCCCACATGTGAACTACACGTCACAATTCTACCCTTCTTTTCTTCACCGATCCTAAAAGACGTGGAAGTATTCCACTCGTTCTTGAAATGCCCCGGGGGAGCGGCTTGTCTCTTAGACAGCACAGGGTCAGGCTAAATCAAATCTTTAGATCGTGATATCACTGGAGGTGTCTCTAATGGTGTCACTCGTGGTGTCTCTCGTTGTGTTACTTCTGGTGTCTAGGTAAGAGACTTACAAGAACCACACACCTCTAGTGCTACAGTATTGATGGCTGCTTTGTTAAATTTCACAACCTCACTGTAAGTCTGTACACACTAAAAAGCCCACTCACACAAAAGCCCTTCTAAAGCTTACCAGAAGCCCACCGGTAGAACATGTTACAGCCTACCAATACTAAAAGTAAAGTTCGCTTTCGAACATGGTATCGGTGAAGTAGAGTCCACCTGTTTCCGTGATCTCGGTATATGAAGGGAGAGTGTGCTCAGCGCTATACCTTTACTCTCCCTAACATAAGTCAGACACCCATACCAGTTGGTTGGACTTAAGGCTGTGCTACAACTCTACCCAGGGATCCGAACTCGAGACATTAGTATTAGCAGACAAACCCTCTACCATTCAACCAAGCCGTGCCAAAATTGGTGGGCTGTAAATGTAATAGATTAACCCAACAGTAGCCTTCTAGCAGCCTCTAAATAGAGCAATAAAAGCCTACTATCAGCCCCTAAATAGAACAATAAAAGCCTACTAACAGCCCCTAAATAGAGCAATAACAGCCCACCAATAGTTTTCCTATAAAATGCCCATCCTAACCTATCAACATTCACCGGTAACCCACTAACAGCCCACCAATACACTTATAACACAAAAAGCCTCACAACAACCCATAACCAACATCCTCCACCCTCCTCCATACTCACCCCACCAACACATCAGCAGCTCTTCACGTGCACGAGACACCGGAAGTCCCAGAAGAAAACTCACTTACTGCTCATATCAGGGTGAGCCACGCGCATTGCAGACATCTATCAGAGCCGGTTCCAAATTGATTTCCGCTCACTGGCACCGGAACGGCACTGTCGGACAAAGACGTTGCGTGTCCTCGGCACCGTCGTCACCAAATGACGTCACAAGTATACGTCAACGCCAGGCGTAATCGTCATACGTCCTTAGCACTGTCAAAACTCCCCAAAATCCAACATTTACTCATTTTTATCTACTTTAAAAAAATATGTATCTTTTTTTATAAAATAAAAATAAATGTCTATTTACAATATACATTAAAATATAGAATTTTTTATTCCGTGAAAAAAAAGATTAAAAAGTATGTAACGATTTCAGACGGCCGCTCTAGATCTTGTAATTACAAGATTTGGTGACAGCTCGGCACTCGCCCAGAAAATTGAAAGAACTATTGGAATTCTGGGATTTCCTGTAACTTTATTAGATAACCGGAAGGGAAGGGGGGCCTCATTTTCAGGAATGGAAATTGAATAAAAACCGCGCAATGTAAATGACATCAAAATCTGATGGCTGGCTAAGTCGTGTTATATGTACATTATATATATATATATATATATATATATATATATATATATATATATATATATATATATATATATATATATATATATATATATATATATATATATATATGAAAGAGATATATGAGGGGTCTTTATGGGAGGGCTCATCTCTTTCTAAATAAATATTTATTAACATAAATATATTCATAGGAGTGGAGGAGAAGGGGGGGGGGGGGAGGGGAGTGGGGGGGGGGACTAAAGTTACAATTTCGGCTATTTAATATTTGACCCCTTTAGATTAAGTTTATAAGACAGAACAAGATGCAACATACATTTTAAAAAACTGAAAAAGTAAATTAATTTAATTTTTGTGTGTGATAAAGATGAAAGTTTTTAGTTAAGATTGTTACTTCTTGACACGTGCTGGGTCAAGTTGACTCAACGCATGGTACAAAAAGCTAATACAGTGTAATCTGGTCTTATAAACTTTAATTAAGCTGAAATCAGTTAGAAGTGTTGCCTTTTATAATAAAATAAACACCTGATAACATCGTTACCTTGTTAAATTCCACGGGGTTGTGGTGCGAGATATTATGCCATGGTCGGCACCTGAAGACGCTAATGTTAAAAAAATCCAATTTTATCCAGAAAATAAAACTATGTACGTTTGTATTAGTAACTAGTTATAGTTAAAATACATTTCGAAGCACAAAAAGTAAATTACCGCACCGGGTGACACCAAACCTAATGACGCCACTAGATAAAAATATAATTTCTTGCGATTTCTTCAAAATAATCAACATAAAACCAGCAGATTATGGCCATCCATGAACATACATAATGTACATTTAATTAAAATCTTTCATATTTTTAAAACATTAAAAAACCCAATAAAAACTTATGAAGTTGCCTAGCAACACACCGTATATCTTAACCTCCCTCCCCCCCCCCCCCACCAAGTGTGTCAACTTGCCTCGTAAAACGTTTTCATGAATTATTTTTCAGACTATCTGTAACTGACTGACAAAAACACACACAGGCAGTTAGACAAACGACTTTGATAAACTTGTCGAATATTTTACCGCATAATTTTGGGCTAAAAATAACAAAAAAATAACATATTTTCATGCACGCTCCAGACTTTTACGCCCAGTGATCCTACCAAAAAAAAACCTCTATAATTACTGTTTGAAACAAATATATAATTTCGCGATACCCCACCCTCTACAGCACGCCATGGAATCGATCCCGCTCCTGTTTGCTTTAGCAGCGATTACCCCGCGCCTTCGTTCATTACCTCACACACGGCATCCATTGTTCGTGACGTACTTCCGGCAATTAAAACTCCGCGGAAGAGGCAAACCAAGACAAAGAACTCCCCACCCCAGCGGTAGACGGTGGTTTTTTGCAAATTTGCTTCCTCTCCCCACGTGAGTGTTTGGCTATTTGAGGTTCCGTTTTGAACATAACGACATAGGAGCGACACGGAGGGTCATTAGACGTAAAAGTTTTTTTTTGGAACGTAAACATTCTCGGAATATAGGATGAAAGATTGCCGCTTTAATGACCCCTGTAGTTTTGATGACCTTTTCAGGGGAGTACTTCAAACAGACGTACCGGGGCGTGGGCGTGATGAACGTCTCACAAAGGTCAACACGGCTTGACCTTTCTTGACCTTTATGTTTCAGTGCAGAAATTGATATATATATATATATATATATATATATATATATATATATATATATATATATATATATATATATATATATATATATATATATATATGTATATATATATCCATATATATATCCATATATATATATCCATATATATATATATCCATATATATATATCCATATATATGTCCATATATATATATCCATATATATATATCCATATATATATATATATCCATATATATATATATATATCCATATATATATATATCCATATATATATATCCATATATATATATATATAGATATATATATGGATATATATATATATATATATATATAAATACATACATATATATATATATATATATATATATATATATATATATATATATATATATATATATATATATATATATATATATATATATATATATATATATATATATATATATACGGGAAAAATAACCAGCGTAAGCACATTCAGCCATATGTATGCACACATAGAGAGTTAAGCTAACACTGATTTAGACAACTCGGTTACGCTATTGCTGCCTACAAGCAAATCCGCTTACACCAGATTTATGCTGTTTTTATGCCAATGGATGCAGGCACTCATACATGCAAGACATAGGCCACTCGAAGTACCCCAGTTTAAATACTTCAGAAACAAGTTTGGCCACTTAAGTGAAAGAATAAACCACCAACGATGATGGAGTTTGACAGTTTCGTCAATACAAAAAAAAAACAAGTCAGTTAATGTTATTTAGAGACAGGCTTTTTATCAATGCTATACTTAGGCCACTTACCATGCTATATTTAGGCCACTTACCATGCTATACTTAGGTCACTTACCATGCTATACTTAGGCCACTAACCATGCTATACTTAGGCCACTTACCATGCTATATTTAGGCCACTTACCATGCTATACTTAGGTCACTTACCATGCTATACTTAGGCCACTAACCATGCTATACTTAGGTCACTTACCATGCTATACTTAGCCCACTTACCATGTAATACTTAGCCCACTTACCAAAACATTACTTCAGTAACACAAAAAAGCAAGCACCAAGCCAGACCACCGACAAACAAACGAACAAAAGACTTATGACCCTTGCTCTCTTTATCACCACCGTCAAGTCGCTTCGGTTCAATAACCCAAGCAGCACCTTGCGCATCCTTTCATCCATTGTCCCTGTTAATTATTTAATTAACACCGTGTACCTGGCCTCTCATCAACCCCCCCCCTCCCCCTCATCCCCCCCTCCTCTAATACTGAAGTGTACCGACCGCACCCGATACCTCAAATAACCCCTTGTCTCGTGTAACATTCGATACGACCCCAGCTAGGCGGTAACGGGTCGAATTGCGCATGCGCGATCGGAGATCGATATCAGGGACGGGGGAGACGACCGTTGGATGGTGAGTCGCCGGATGCGCGAGAAGGGCTCACGTTGACAAAGGGGGCTGAAGGGAAGGCGGTGCTTACCTTGGTTATACCGACCAATCGCCGATCGGGACACGGGACGTAGTTGGTGAGCACGTGGGGTGGGGGGTGAGGGGGGTGAGGGGGTGGGGGATGGGGGATGGAGCCCCGGGACCAAGATGGCTGAACTGCGGCAAAACTTTCGCCATCGTACGGCGAGGTAAGTCGGGCTGTTATCAAGTTCTGTGGGCTCACAAAGCGAGAGTCTCGTTCAAATCGGTTTTAAATTCAATTATGCTAAGCGGCACTGTACACGGTTATTAATTTGTATTTCCTATCCGACGTAATTAAAAGGTAAGATTTTATTAATTAAAAGTTTCCCTTTCAAACCTGACGGTCTATGGGGCAAGTGAAGTAGAGTACACTTGTTTCTGTGACCTCGGCATATGAAGAGATAGTGTGGTCAGCACTATGCCCAGCCGCCTTTACTTTCCCTAACATGAGTTAGGTACCCATCAGAGTTGGGTGGACTCAGGGACGGTCTACTAACTTGAACCCGGATTCGAACTCGAGACTAACGGGTTAGCAGTCCAGCTCTCTACCGCTAGACCACTCCGTCCCACATTTTATTAATTAGTTAACCTAATTGTTTACATTTGTTTTTTATTTTAATCCCTTAAGTTTTAAAACACCTGTTACAGATATCGATTTTCGTATTGTAAATCAAAACTCTTTCATTTATCACTTTGATAATTCCCACAATAGATTTAAACCCACGCATTCACTTTTCAGGCCCAACGCGCTACCTACCCTCATAGACACGAAAAGAGATTTTCATCACTGAAGTTATACTCAGAATAGAACCAACAACTGATTTGAAAACACGGGAAGTGACGTAAAACTAAAAAAAAGTGACGTCAGATTTGACATTCACTTACCGTGGGGTGACAGCCTTGAGCATCGTATAAAGAAAAAAAAAATCTCTTTCAAGTGAGGTCTTTTAATTTTCTCAAAGCGAGCCGCTTGCCACATCGCCACTGATTATTAATCCACCCCCGCGCCCTGTTCTCACCCCCCACGCCGCACACGACAGCAACAAGCGTGAGTACACTACTTGTGCATTAAGAACAACATCCCCGAGGGACGCGCCGACAGCCTTAGCCCTGCTAATAACCCTGACATCCCCTGGGTTTATGGCTCCATAACTTCAAGCCGACGGAGATTTATGATAATTACATTTTTTTTTCTCTTTACGTCTCTTCTTTACGAACAGAATAACTTTAGACTTAACGCATTGAGGTTGCTGAAGTTAAACGTCGACGATCAAAGATCTTGATTGGACGAACTTTGAACTCTGAAATTCTGTTAAAGAATCCGATCATACTACGTCATTTTTTCTACAAGTTTATATAAATAAAACTCAATACAAATGCGGATATCAACGCACAAGTTATAAATTATTTCGTACATCGGTTTAAAAATTTCAAAAATTCGAAATCAAAATGACGCTCACTTCCAAGTTCACGGACATCGTCTCCATCAAATGGCAGAACTTTCAAGACAAAATCCGGGACCCGAAATCCCAGCGCCGTCTGGTGCTGGTCATCGTGTGCATAGCCCTCCTTCTGGACAACATGCTGTACATGGTCATCGTTCCCATCATCCCCAACTACCTGACCCGCGACCAGAAGCAGGACGAACCCACCTACCTGTACAAGTACTACAACGTCACCGAGTCTTCCAACGCCCCGGTCGGCGCCACCCATAGCTACGTCATGGCCCACAAACTGGACACCAACGGTCAGTTCGAGAACGGCGCCATCGTTAATGTTCCAGAACAGGCTATCCTAGCTACGAATACATCACTTCATACAGAGAAACACGATAATAGAATTATGCTCCTTAGAATAGCGGTTCCACCCCCGCCTATATCTTACGGTGACGAAGGTATTAAAATTGGTGTGCTCTTTGCTTCCAAAGCCATCTTTCAACTGTGTGTGAATCCTTTCACCGGAGGGCTCATTGACCGAATTGGCTACGATATCCCTATGATGATTGGCTTGACAATTATGTTCCTTTCCACGTCTGTGTTTGCGTTCGGCGAGAGCTACGCTGTTCTATTTTTAGCCCGAAGCTTACAAGGACTCGGCTCGGCTTTCGCGGATACTTCCGGTTTGGCCATGATCGCTGATAGGTTCACCGAAGAAGCGGAGAGATCCAAGTCTTTAGGTATCGCCTTGGCTTTTATTTCATTTGGTTGTCTTTTCGCGCCGCCATTCGGGGGAATCTTGTACGAGTTTACAGGCAAAACCGCCCCGTTCGTGATCCTGGCTTTGGTCTGTCTAATCGACGGGATCCTCATGGTGCTAGTCATGAAACCAGTGAGACTCGAACGTTCTATGTTGGCCAGGGAAGAACGCCCTAACGGCACCCCCATCTGGAAACTCCTCATGGACCCTTACATCGCCGTGGCCGCTGGGGCGTTGGCCATGTCGAACGTGTCCTTGGCCTTTCTAGAGCCGACGATATCCTTGTGGATGAAGGTCACCATGGGCGCAGACGAGTGGCAGATTGGCTTCTGCTGGCTGCCGTCTTTCGTCACTCACGTTCTGGGCGTGTACATGACCGTCAAGCTGGCGAGGAAGTTCCCGCAGTACCAGTGGCTCATGGCCATGATCGGGCTCTCCATTGAAGGAATCTTCTGCTTCTTCGTCCCCTTCTCCACCGCGTACTTCGCCGTGATTTTCCCCATCATGGGCATCTGTTTCGGCATCGCTTTGGTCGACACGGCGCTGCTGCCCACCTTAGGCTACCTGGTCGACGTCCGACACGTCAGCGTCTACGGCAGCGTCTACGCCATCGCCGACATCTCCTACTCCCTGGCCTACGCCATCGGTCCCATCGTCGCTGGCAGCATCGTCTCCAGCATCGGATTCATGTGGCTCAACGTCCTCATCTTCCTCAGCAACATCCTCTACGCCCCTCTCCTCATTTTTCTCCGCAACATTTACATGTACAAACCCTTCGATAACGACGACGAAGTCCTCATCGACGACCCCCCACCTAAAGGCTACAACACCTACGTCCAAAACGGCGGCCTCACCGGCAAACCCCTCGCCCTCAACGGCGGCGACAACTTCGCCAACCACCTAAAAATCAGCAACAGAAAAAGCAACGAAATAGACTGCTACCCGCCGCCGACGGAGCCCGAGTACGTCTACCACAAAGATTCCTCTTATAACTTCTACAACCAGCCTCACTGAGAGGGCTGAGCCTAGGTTTTCATCTACTGCTGTTGGCTATGGAGGAGGCTGTGATCAGACTGAATGTAGATGCTTGCTTATGTACGTGCGCATGTTAGTAAAAGGATGTTTGCGCTGGCTGCCGGCTGAGGTATGTTACTCACTCACACAAAAAAAAAAACGTGATATAAAAAAAAAACTGTAATAAGCCAAACTGTATTTTCTCTTTTATCATGCCTGTTTTTTTTTTTTCATTTTAAAATAGAAATTTGTATGAATAAATGTGATAGATTTTCATATTTTAACTTGGATTTAAAAGAATTTTTTTCTCATGATTTCTTGTTACCTTCATTTACTGTTGTGATGTATCAGAACTACTTGACGAGTAGAATAGGTGTAATGTTCTCATGTCTGAGTTTCATGTATTAGATTAAACTTGTGTGGGATGGAGTACTACAAAAGGGAAGTGAAAGATTTAATGCAAGCATCGATCACGTGACTCTCTCAACCAATGAGAGATGCTCGTCAAAACGGATACACAACTTAACCTGAAATATGTGTACATACATTCCCTACAACTGATATGTCTTTCAAAAGTAATACTAGTAGACCTACACGTATATGGTTGATTTAGTTAGTCCAAAGTTTAAAGACTACATAAGACCAAGATTTTACCAAAAGATACGTTAGACTTAGACTTTATACATCACACCAAGACTTTAATACTATATCACACTAAGACTTTACAACTACATCACACTAAGACTTTACAACTACATCACACCAAGACCTTACAACTACATCACACCAAGACTTTACAACTACATCACACCAAGACTTTACAACTACATCACACCAAGACTTTACAACTACATCACACCAAGACTTTACAACTACATCACACCAAGACTTTACAACTACATCACACCAAAATTTTACAACTACATCACATCAACACTTTAAGACTACATCACACCAAGAATTTACAACAGCACACCAAGAATTTACAATTACATCACACCAAGACTTTACAACTACATCACACCAAGACTTTACAACTACATCACACCAAGACTTTACAACTACATCACACCAAGACTTTACAACTACATCACACCAAGACTTTACAACTACATCACACCAAGATTTTTACAACTACATTGCACCAACACTTTACAACTACATTACACCAACACTTTACAACTACATCACACCAAGACTTTGCAACTACATCACACCAAGACTTTACAACTACATCACACCAAGACTTTACAACTACATCACACTAAGACTTTACAACATCACACCCAGACTTTACAACTTCATTACACTAAGACTTTACAACTACATCACACCAAAGCTGGGCAAATACGCATAGGCGTAGTTACCCATTTCGGCACCCTGGGCAAACTATGAATTTGGTACCCCTCCCCATTTTACAGTTATTCTTGTTCTTGAAAAGGTACCCCCTTCCTCCCAATTTGTTAAGATCGGGGGCACTTTTTACTAGTCTCTTTTTTATTACCTGTTATTATAGTGTCATACAATTTATGTCAAATTGTCAAGTATGTCCTTAATTTTCAAGAAGCCATCAGTTTTCACTTCGACCTTGAAAAATTCACTAATACAAGTCACGAACATTCTTTTTTTTTTCTAATTCGCTTGGTGCTCAATCTCCCCTCCAGGTCGGTGCCTGATGGTGACACCCCACCACACTCCCCTAGCTTCGCCTCTGCTAGTACGTCAGATCAAGGCTGAGCAATCTCCTCCTCTACTCCCCCCCCCCCCCCCGCCCTGCAGTTTACGACAGGTCGGCCATTAATAACCTGGACGTTTCATTAACCTGACCGTGTCATCAGCCCAGGGACGGCGGCCATGTTGACACGATGTCACATGACCTTTAGTATGTGGGGGGGGGGGGGGGGGGGGGAAGAGGGGGAAGGGGATGTCCTGAGCATAACGAAAACAGCGTAATGTACTTTAGAGCATGTACAGTTTTTTTTCTCTCCCCCTCTCACATTCTTAATATAAATATATATATATATATATATATATATATATATATAAATAAATATATATATATATATATATATATATATATATATATATATATATATATATATATATATATATATATATATATATATATATATATATATACATATATATATATATGTGTGTGTGTGTGTGTACTACAGTACACATATAAAAAAAATTGAATTGTACGTAACATACCTACAGCACATTTAAAGTTACAAATCTTAAGTCCTTTTCTACTTAAGGGTTAGAGCGACTTTCTTCAAAATTCATTAAAAAACTTAGTTTCTTAACTTCTAGTTACAGTTGATTATATTCATTTGCTAGTTTTACCACTTGATTTAGTTAGCATGCTGATGTTACTTAATGAATTTTTTTTCAAGATGACTCTATTGCAACCGATTGTTACACTGGGTGATAACAATACTTTCTTTAACACTGTCCTTAAAATTTACGGAAGCTGCGAATACTAGACTTGGCAGATTGTTAAACACAATCAATGGCTATTTTTACCCCTTGTTTTAAACATTTTCTTCTAATAAGATACCTCATGTCCAACAATGTTTTATGTACGTGATCTCTTCTATCGTTTAGTCTCAGCTTAATGAATGTTTAACTCATAGCAGGGGCTATTGCTGACATATCAATAAATGCGTAGATTTGTTTCAACGACTGATGTGGGTACGAATCCCATCTGACTAAAATTCCTGTCTTTTCTAGAAGTATATTTTGTTCTTGTGTCTATTTTAGACTCTAAAATAACTCCATGTCATAAATGCTATTGTTTATATCATAAATATTGTAGTTACTGTCTGGAAGTTTTATATACAACAAAACTATCACTACGCAGTTATTTTAATTTCCTATTAATCATCTCAAGTTGACTCATCAACTGCTGCATTATACATTAAGCATGTTCTAATTGGCAATTAGTATGAACCAGGTTAAAGAATAGTCCATAATCCAGACACCAGCATCGAAAGACAATCAAGCATATCTTCAATGGATGCCGTTTTTTTCATGCACGGCAAGTTAGATCAGCGCTCCTAAACCTGACCGACCGCAAGTGAGATGATGATAAAGATTATTGTTTTATTACACTTTAATTATGATGTGATTGTTAAGCCAGGCAGGCATCGTAAAAATCCAGTGGCGGAACTAGAAATCAAGGGCTCCCCCGCAAAGGAAAATCTAGGGCCCCTATATATATATATATATATATATATATATATATATATATATATATATATATATATATATTTATATATATATATATATATATGATCTATAATAAATCTATATCCTAACTGAGTAATTTAGTCTACTTCATTGCAATATATAACCATTCTGAGAGAACAAAACAGAAAAAAATTAGTCCAAACTTATTCCAATTAGGTGGCAGTGTATACAATGTGCTGGTCAAAAATATATAAAGACGTTAGCTTGATTCGTGAATGGTTTCTCGCGTTATGTTTATTTGTTACCTTTTTGGCTTTTATAATATCAATTTTGAAAACATTGATTTTTATAGCTATACTATTGTATAGCACGTCTTATTTAAGTAACAATTCAGAGAATCAATTGCTTTTTAGTATACATAGTACAAAACTATTTAAATGAGCTTCGTGGGCATCCCTATTTTAAAGAAGGGCAGTAAGTCATGGAAGTAGTGTGAATGTTTACCTACCTTTCAAACTATAGCTCTTGTAGATTTTAAAATAAATATTTTTCTACGCAACAATCTCTGCTATAGTAGACCTGTTTTTTTTTTTTTTTACAAAACCACTTTCAAGATGCATGAAAACATATTTTTTGAAAAAAAAAATGCATTGTTTTTTGGTCGGAACTGGGCCCCTAAACGTCCTGCCCCCCCCCCCCCCCCCCCCGCATTGCGGGGTCTGACGGTATGGTAGTTCCGCCCCTGTAAAAATCTGGAGACTTCCTTATCTTGAAGCAATGTCCTTGGGTCCTAATTGTAGTAGTTGAAGTGGTTTTGTCTAGTATAATGAAGTATTACGTGTCAAAATGGTGTGGTCATACGGTCCTTTTGTGCTGACTTCAGCTTATTTTGCCTTCTTTTTTTTTGCCCAGATAATTTTCTATGAACGTAGGTCCATAGTCGTCACATAATGTTAGCAATCATGTGCTGTATCCCTCGACCACGCCGCCCCCTTACATCTTCGTACGAAACTTGTGACCTATAGGTTTACACCTACCAAAAGTATTATTTTAATGTAGATACACAACAGTTAAACTTCATGTCTCAAAAGTTTCTGCACGTGTTTCTTTCAATCTTTAACAAAAATTGTTGGTAAATGGAAGTGACATTTCTCGGAGTAATTGACTTTTGTATAAATGACTTTTATATGTGCTTAAATAATCAATCCTTATAATCAGATATGTTCGATGTTGGAAGTTTGAGTCGCTTATATATATATATATATATATATATATATATATATATATATATATATATATATATATATATATATATATATATATATATATATATATATCTATATATATATATTTATATATATATATATATATATATATATATATATATCTATATATATATATATACATATATATATATATACATATATATGTGTGTGTGTATGTATGTATGTATAGTTGTTGAATCAACACAATTGGGGTTGTAGTTAAAAATCTTTTTCGTGACATTGATGCGTAACGTGCCTAGTCAACCACTGCTAAATGAGTCGTTACGTCAGGCTTAGGCTTGTGGTTATTGTTGCTGTTGGCATTTAAGCATAACCCTTATGGAACCACCCATGGTTTGACTAGATACACGGCTTAATACGGAGTTAACCGTTACATTAGTTGGGTCAGTTCTAGTATCTACTGTCCTGTGGTCAATAGAGCTTGTAAGTCTACGGTCTCGAAATCTACTAGCTGGCAAGTACGAGAACGAGAAGTTGTGACCTACTTACAAGCCCTATAGCGGCATGTGTGTCCTAAGAGGAACATGACTAACTCATGTTAGTGTGTCCTATGATCAACAGGACTAAACGAGTATGTCCTAAGCTCATCAGGACCAAATAAATATGTGTTCTAAGTTAAACAGGACAAACTATTGTGTGTCCTAAAATCAAATAAACCGGCTCTTGTGTGTCCTAAAACTAACAGGACCTGTTTTTGTGTGTCCTTATATCAAGAGGACCAGCTCTTGTTAGTAAGTACCACGTTCAACAGCTTCCACACGTGTGTCCTTAGATCGATTCGTTTCTAGTCCTAAGAACACCGGGATCGGATTTTATGTCCTAAAATGAACAGGACAACTTAATTTAGTAAGTCATTGGGTCACCGGGACCTAATTGTGTGTGACCAAAGATTAAAAGGACCTTCTCTTATTCTTGTGTC